TCTTTATTAAAATGTTACAAATCAGCTGCATTTGTAAACTTGGAAAATTAAAACATGATCTTGACTTGTTTAATGTCATGTAGTGTGATATAAAGTCCAGATGTTAGAAATATTTTATTTATACTCCGTTTGTGTTTCATGGGTTGTGTACTAATGAACTATTATGATGTATAATGTATAATTCATCTTTTATTAACTCTTGCTTAAGATCGTTCCAGATAAAGGTCATGCAACGGACGGGTTGTGAAAGAGGCCTGAACATCCTCTATCACATGTTGGGTTGTAAAAGAGGCCTTGACATCCTCTATCACATGTTTCTTCTAACCATGTGTTCTTGGAACAATTCAATTGTAAACTAACCACATGCTTTGTTTTAACCTATGTGCTGAGGTTTAAAGTAAGATCATTGTGTTTCCCTTTCCCTTAGTTAAACCTCAGCTTGTGTAATTAGGGACATCCCCTTTCTTCAATTAATAGCAAGGAGAAAGATGAAGACTGCAGAGTGGGGTGGAGATTTGTAAACTCCGCAGTCTCTTCCTACTCTCCTCGTGAGTAACTCAAATAATTGTCTCTGTGCCCTCTTTCTTTCCCTGTATGTATGTATGATGTTTTAGGTGCTTAGACCTGACACTAGACAAGTACATTGCTGTACATGCAAAAAGCTGTGTCTGATTGGTAAACTTTGTTAAGTGTTTTATTCTGGAGGAAAAAATAAATTAGCAGGTTACAAAGAAGTCTTAAAGTAATCTGTAGAGACAATAGAGCAGTAAAAACTTTTTACCTTAAGGTAAGTCTTTTACTCTTAAGTGAAGATTACTGGAAACCACTTACAAGGAGGGGTCAGGACTCTAGACAGCCTTAGTGTGCTGAATCAATTCATAAAAAGAAAATCTCATTAAAGCCAGTCCTCCTCTTAGCATTATCACCAATAGAAAAAGCATTTAAATACTATATTCAGTCTCTTTGAAACACTCGGTTTGCAATCTGCTAAGGAGAACAATAAGAAAGACTGATGAGTGTATGGGGGAGCGCATATCGACATTTTCTCTCACCTCTCTCGTCTTAATGCATCTCATTTTCCTTAAAACCTCTCTTGTTGAACACCTTTCCTTTCCCATCAGCCCTCATCAATCTCTCTATCCTTGCTGGGTGAAAAATTACACCCATTACCATTGACATGTGGTACACAGAAACAGCATTTTCTCTACTGACAAGGATCAGGTAAAACAACTTGGGGGACTCAAGATAGCAGTATGACGGCAGTGAAACATAAATCAGTTGCAAACATTTGGAAGACTTAAATACAGGAAACACAATTTGACAATGGGTGAAATGGGTTCACCTCTCAATTGATACAAGTGGTGTAATCTGTGCAATGACGTACTGTATGGATGTTCTTCATGTTTTTAGGGTGGTGTTGCCAGTATTATACCAACACTTGGATAAAAATCTTTCTTTCCACCTACATTTAAAGAATGTGTATTGTCAGCTGTCTAATGCTGACAATACATTTATCAATTGTAAAAATCTTTTACAAAAAAATATAAAAAAAATTTTAAACAATACATAAGTGAGAGAGCTGTACTGTTGAATGGTTTTATTGAAATTTCAAAACCGATTAACCAATTTTTTAAGCTGAGTTTAATTTTCTTTTTTTGAGTTTTTATGGCACTAATGGCTCATTTTTATATACAGTAGGCTGACAGGAAACGAGAGAAGGGGAGAGACATGCGGGAAAGGACCACAGGCTGGATTTTAACCCGGGTCGCCCGCGTCGAGGACTAGGACCTCCATACATGGGGCGTGTGCGCCAACCACTGCGCCACCAAAGCACACCCCGAGTTAAATTTTTTATCACTGATTATCACTAAGC